AGTAAAGGGAACATTTTGAAACTTTATGCATGTAAAAAGGAAGGTGAGAAGCTTATTTTCCCAAAATTTCAAATTTTTCCAGTAGAAAACAGCAACATGATAAATCTTGGAAGTCAACCTACAAAAACTGAATTAGTTGAAAATACAATCTCACACATTTCAAAGTTTTTCTAAATAACTAGTGAAGGGAACATTTTGAAACTTTTTGCATGTAAAAAGGAAGGTGAGAAGCTTACTTTCCCAAAATTTCAAATTTTTCTAGTGGAAAATAACAACATAAGGAATATTGGAAATCAACTCATATATAATAACTGAATTAATTGAAAATACAGTCTCACATATTTCAGAGTTTTTCTGGAAAACTAGTGAAGACAAAATTTTGAAACTTTTTACATATAGAGAGGAAGGTAAGACGCTTATTTTCCCAAAATTTCAAATTTTTCCAGTAGAAAACAGCAACATGAAAAATCTTGGAAATCAACCTATAATAAATGAATTAATTGAAAATAGAGTCTCACACATTTCAAAGTTTTCCTGGAAAACTAGTGAAGGGAAAATTTTGAAACTTTTTGCGAGTAAAGAGGAAGGTGCGAGAAGCTCATTTTCCCAAAGTTTCAAATTTTTCCAGTAAAAAACAGCAACATGAAAAATCTTGGGAATCATTCTACAAAAACTGAATTAGTTGAAAATACAGTCTCACACATTTCAAAGTTTTCCTGGGAAACTAGTGCAGGGAAAACTTTAAAACTTTTTGCATGTAAAGAGGAAGGTGAAAAGCTCATTTTCCCAAAATTTCAAATTTTTCCAGCAGAAAACAGCAACATAAAAAATTTTGAAAGTCAACCTACAAAAACTGAATTAGTTGAAAATACAATCTCACACATTTCAAAGTTTTTCTAAAAAACTAGTGAAGGGAACATTTTGAAACTTTCTGCATGTAAAAAGGAAGGTGAGAAGCTTATTTTCCCAAAATTTTAAATTTTTCCAGTAGAAAACAGCAACATGATAAATCTTGGAAGTCAACCTACAAAAACTGAATTAGTTGAAAATACAATCTCACACATTTCAAAGTTTTTCTAAATAACTAGTGAAGGGAACATTTTGAAACTTTTTGCATGTAAAAAGGAAGGTGAGAAGCTTACTTTCCCAAAATTTCAAATTTTTCTAGTGGAAAATAACAACATAAGGAATATTGGAAATCAACTCATATATAATAACTGAATTAATTGAAAATACAGTCTCACATATTTCAGAGTTTTTCTGGAAAACTAGTGAAGACAAAATTTTGAAACTTTTTACATATAGAGAGGAAGGTAAGACGCTTATTTTCCCAAAATTTCAAATTTTTCCAGTAGAAAACAGCAACATGAAAAATCTTGGAAATCAACCTATAATAAATGAATTAATTGAAAATAGAGTCTCACACATTTCAAAGTTTTCCTGGAAAACTAGTGAAGGGAAAATTTTGAAACTTTTTGCGAGTAAAGAGGAAGGTGCGAGAAGCTCATTTTCCCAAAGTTTCAAATTTTTCCAGTAAAAAACAGTAACATGAAAAATCTTGGGAATCATTCTACAAAAACTGAATTAGTTGAAAATACAGTCTCACACTTTTCAAAGTTTTCCTGGAAAACTAGTGCAGGGAAAACTTTAAAACTTTTTGCATGTAAAGAGGAAGGTGAAAAGCTCATTTTCCCAAAATTTCAAATTTTTCCAGCAGAAAACAGCAACATAAAAAATTTTGAAAGTCAACCTACAAAAACTGAATTAGTTGAAAATACAATCTCACACATTTCAAAGTTTTTCTAAAAAACTAGTGAAGGGAACATTTTGAAACTTTTTGCATGTAAAAAGGAAGGTGAGAAGCTTATTTTCCCAAAATTTCAAATTTTTCCAGTAGAAAACAGCAACATGATAAATCTTGGAAGTCAACCTACAAAAACTGAATTAGTTGAAAATACAATCTCACACATTTCAAAGTTTTTCTAAAAAACTAGTGAAGGGAACATTTTGAAACTTTTTGCATGTAAAAAGGAAGGTGAGAAGCTTATTTTCCCAAAATTTCAAATTTTTCCAGTAGAAAACAGCAACATGATAAATCTTGGAAGTCAACCTACAAAAACTGAATTAGTTGAAAATACAATCTCACACATTTCAAAGTTTTTCTAAATAACTAGTGAAGGGAACATTTTGAAACTTTTTGCATGTAAAAAGGAAGGTGAGAAGCTTAGGTACTTTCCCAAAATTTCAAATTTTTCTAGTGGAAAATAACAACATAAGGAATATTGGAAATCAACTCATATATAATAACTGAATTAATTGAAAATACAGTCTCACATATTTCAGAGTTTTTCTGGAAAACTAGTGAAGACAAAATTTTGAAACTTTTTACATATAGAGAGGAAGGTAAGACGCTTATTTTCCCAAAATTTCAAATTTTTCCAGTAGAAAACAGCAACATGAAAAATCTTGGAAATCAACCTATAATAAATGAATTAATTGAAAATAGAGTCTCACGCATTTCAAAGTTTTCCTGGAAAACTAGTGAAGGGAAAATTTTGAAACTTTTTGCGAGTAAAGAGGAAGGTGCGAGAAGCTCATTTTCCCAAAGTTTCAAATTTTTCCAGTAAAAAACAGCAACATGAAAAATCTTGGGAATCATTCTACAAAAACTGAATTAGTTGAAAATACAGTCTCACACATTTCAAAGTTTTCCTGGAAAACTAGTGCAGGGAAAACTTTAAAACTTTTTGCATGTAAAGAGGAAGGTGAAAAGCTCATTTTCCCAAAATTTCAAATTTTTCCAGCAGAAAACAGCAACATGATAAATCTTGGAAGTCAACCTACAAAAACTGAATTAGTTGAAAATACAATCTCACACATTTCAAAGTTTTTCTAAAAAACTAGTGAAGGGAACATTTTGAAACTTTTTGCATGTAAAAAGGAAGGTGAGAAGCTTATTTTCCCAAAATTTCAAATTTTTCCAGTAGAAAACAGCAACATGATAAATCTTGGAAGTCAACCTACAAAAACTGAATTAGTTGAAAATACAATCTCACACATTTCAAAGTTTTTCTAAATAACTAGTGAAGGGAACATTTTGAAACTTTTTGCATGTAAAAAGGAAGGTGAGAAGCTTATTTTCCCAAAATCTCAAATTTTTCTAGTGGAAAATAACATATGAAAAATCTTGATAGTCAACCTTCAAAAACTGATTTAGTTGATTATTCCACTCACGTGTTAGAAATCCCATAAGACAAGTGACGATTTTCAGAATTACAGCGAAAATTCTCTTTTCCATTTGTTTAACTAGAGAGAATTACAGCGATAATTCTCCCATGTTATATTATACATATAGTGGAAAATAACAACATGAGGAATATTGGAAATCAACTCATAATTAGATAATAACTGAATTAATTGAAAATACAGTCTCACATATTTCAGAGTTTTTCTGGAAAACTAGTGAAAAGAAAATTTTAAAACTTTTTGCATGTGAAAAGGAAGGTGTGACGCTCATTTTTTCAAAATTTCGAATTTTCCCAGTAGAAAGCAGCAACATGAAAAATCTTGGAAATCAACCTACAATAACTGAATTAATTGAAAATACAGTCTCACACATTTCAAAGTTTTCCTGGAAAACTAGTGAAGGGAACATTTTGAAACTTTTTGCATGTAAAGAGGAAAGTGAGAAGCTTATTTTTTCAAAATTTCAAATTTTTCTAGTGAAAAATAGTAACATGAAATATCTTGGAAATCAACCTACAAAATCTGTAGGGGAGGGTGGGCCACGTTGAGACAGTTTTTACTTTTTTCGGGATAAAATTGGTAATTTTAATTTTTTCGCTACAGTTGCGTGAGCCTCATAATCTTTCTCCTATTGCACACATTTTTTGAATAAATTATTAAGACAATGTTAATTATATTATTTTATAGAGGAATCTAAAAAAATCTGATTTGGTGGGCCACTTTGAGACATACATAAAAACCTAGAAAAAAGGAGAAAAATAAGGTTTTTTCAAAATTGATACATCGTAACGAGGGCGGTGATATAACTTTTCTTCATTATTTTGTGTTTTTTCAACATATCTTGCAAATGTTTGATGTTTTACGTTGTTTTTCTCTGCTGCATTCCTTAGAAGCTCAATTTTAATCACATCTTCGACAGCCCATTTTATTGATTCGGCACCAAACAGGCCTTTTTGAGATTTTCTTTTGCGTCCCCGTGACATGTTTTGAACAAAATATTTTTTCTCAACATTTGAGACACGTCTCAAGGTGGCCCAAACTTCGTGTCTCATTGTAGCCCATGGTAGGTCTGAGTGACAAACCGCAATATTTTGGTGAAACGTGAAAAAATCGACTCGTAACATACATAAACAATGAAATTAATATCCATCTGTTGTGTTGGAAACCTCAGAATAAAATGAAAATATATTGGGAACGACTGATGAAGTACTGAACTTACAGCAAAAGAAATTTCACTATGGCGAAAACAAATCGAAGCCGGCAAAAAATTCGGGGGCGCACGTGCAGCTTCTCTGGCAACAGAAATAAGACTAACATGCTTGATGTACTCTGAAATGGAGACAAATAGCCCACGTTATTAAAAAATAATGGCGACTGTCTCATGGTAAACGCGTCTCATGGTGGCCCACCCTCTCCTAATCATTATTCTTTTGAATTTTTTGACAATTTGACAATTTCCTTTAAATTCCTCATAAATTCCTCCAAATTCCCTATAAATTCCCCAAATTATCATAAATTCGGATGAGTTCCTACAAATTCCTCACAAATTTCTCTAAATTCCTAGGTGGTTTGCCCCTTGATTTAGACATATTTAAAAGAAAACAATTCATGAGCCGAGAATAGACAAAAAATGTGAGAAAATTTGGGTAATCAAGTAATAATTCCCCATCCAATTCTCACGAATTCTATACTACACAATTCCTCTTTATAGTTCACCTCTTTAGATTCCTTCAATAACAAAATCCCGGTTGTAGAATTTCGGTAAAAATGCTGAAGGCCAATACGATCCCAGACTAATCAACTCCTTCATAAACTATTTGGACAATTTATTTTACAACAATCAACATCCAGTTATCGTATTTTGCTGCACCAACTCCAAAACTATTGCTCCAGAACTTAAACGAATGTTTTTGGAAATATTTGAAATAAACGCACCCACTGATTCAAACAGAGAAAAAAATTTGCAATGGATTTTAGAGAAAAATGCCATCAACTACAATGAAGTTGATTTAAAACTTGTTGCCAGCAAAACCAATGGGTTTTATTTTGAAGATTTAAATGCCTTGGTGTATCATGCAGATAGAAATAATTTAGATTTTGAAAAGGCCTTGGACTTTATGCAAAAAAACTACAACGAAAGTCTAGGGGCACCGAAGGTGCCCAAAGTCAGATGTTGGAGGGAGGCCTGAGAAGGTTGCTTGAAAAACTGGATTAAAGCTTGATTAATTGAAACTTTTTAGTTTTTGAAAAGGCACGTCAAGCATCCCGTTGCATTATATTTTTTGATGAATTAGATTCTTTGGCTCCAAGCAGAGGCCTTTCGGGTGATTCCGGAAGGGTAATGGATAAAGTCGTTTCGCAATTGTTAGCTGAAATGGATGGGCTTATTGCTGGTGGAAAAGTTTTTATTATAGGTATCATTATTATGTACTTAGGTTGGTTAATAATATTGAAACTTTAGGCGCTACAAATAGGCCACATTTAATAGATCCTGCACTGTTAAGACCTGGAACATTCCACAAGTTGTTGTATGTGGGCCCTTGCACCGATTTAGAATCCAAAGTTTCTGTTTTGAAGGCTTTAACCAGGAAGTTAGTACTTAGTGTCATGTTTTAAATAATTCATGTGCGTTTTTTTTTTTTTTTTGGTTTATATTGTCTAAAACAGTCGATTTACAAGAAATAGTCAAAAATTGTCCCATAAACATTACCAGGGCTGATTTCTACGGTATTTGTTCCACTGCTTGGTCTTTAGCCGCAAAAAGGCTTATTGAGGCAATTGAAAAAGGAGCCACCGACAGTAAAAATGATGTTGTAGTGGACATACAAGATTTTGTAACAGCAATTGAAACCGTGAAACTGTCGATAAGCGAGCAGGATTTGAAATATTTTGAGAATTTAAGAAACGAGTTGAATTCTCGTGTTTTTAGAAAAAATTGTTGAGGTTTATGTTTTTTTTAATTAAATTGTTTGTAAATTTACTCTTGATGTTTGATTGAATTTGTTGCCCTTTTGGAGGATTGATAAAGATACAGAAATAATGGAAGGTCGAGATAAGCTTCAATATCTTTCACAATCAACAATAAAAAATTCAGCTGCTCTTCTTTCAGTCGCAAACACTGAGATAGTGTGGACCTTGTGTGGACAGCAAAATCGCTTTTGAAATTGGCTTGATTGGGCTATAAGCTTTTAGTTTCGGGATTAAAAAAAATTACTCTAGGTACCTAGGTATCTATATAAAATACTATTAGCAACATTTTTTTTCTCCATCATATCAGCTGAAATTTTTAGGATTTCTACTCGTAGTCCTTCACTTAGAATAAAGCTCCCTGAAAATTTTAAATTCTTATCTATGATATCTATGATATTTGTGATCCTCTCCGGGTAGCCACGAGACCTTGTCGTTGATGGAGAGGCTCAGCGGCCGTACGTCGCTGCAGAGATGTGGAGTCGTTTGGTCGTGACCAAGGATGGCTCACCATACCGGGAAAGCAGACACACAGCATCCTGGTATGCTGGGTGTCTGCTAGACAAACAGCGTGGAGGAGGACACTCGACTCGGCCTCAGCCCGCAATCTGGGTCTCGCGGCCCTGTTTCGGGATGGGGCCGAGTCGACTGCCCTCCGTGGAAACCTGCCTGGTATATCTCGCGCTCTAAGATCGGTGGTTGATGAGGAAGTATCTTAGAGCGTGAGCGCCTACCTTAACTGGTCGGCCAAGTGGAAGGCGAACCACAATAAAAATCCCTCCAAGTCACGGTGGAACAGCATAGGCCAAGGACTGCGTGGTTAGGGGAGAGCCTAATCGTTACTATGCGAACTCCAGGGATGTGGCGACCCCACGGCTTAACTAGCCCGACCGGGGCAAGCGGGGCTCTACCTCGGCCGTATGGTTTATTTCCCTAGCTACTCGTGGGACCTAACATGGACACACAAAATAAAACAATCAAGGCGAAGGATGATAGCGCCTAAAGCACATCCGAAAACATGGAAGTAGGGGACTGTAAAAGCCCCACTGACGTAGAAAAAGAACTTTTACGTTCAGACGAAGAACTCGGCAAAGATCTGAGTGCCCTACGACTGAAGGGCGACGTGAGGATCAGGCTGAGTGGCGCTGCCAGAAAGAGGATGAAATTCCTCAAAAAAAAAGGGATGAGTGCAGACGAAGCCCGCAAAAAGGCCCTTGAGCCAATCAAAGAAAGGGCTAAAACCTCTGACAAGGGCGAAAAAAGAGCCCGGTCAGAAGGAAACACCCCCGAGGCTCAAGCCAAAAAAAGAGCTAGGACAAGGGATACGGGCAGAAATGCCCCGCCCACAAAAAAGGAAACGAGCAGCAGTGCTCCGCCTTCCAGAGCTCCAAAACCAACCTTCAGCCAGATAGCTGGAGGCATAAAGGTAGGAATACTACCTACAGACTTCCCCAATTGCCTTTTGTCAGTGGAGCAAATTCAAGCCACCAAAGAGGCAATTATGGATAAGATCGTGGACGAGGTAGCATCGGATTGCCCGGTCAAACCGAAGTTTCTGAGCGCCCACAACAGACCCGGCTGGCTCGCTCTAGTTTGCGAAAACATAGCCACCAAGCAGTGGCTGCAAACTGCAGTCGCCTCCATCAAGCCTTGGGAGGAAGCTTCGCTAAGGATGGTAGAGGAATCTGACATTCTTCACTCTGACGTCCTGGTTGCTCGATTCCCAAGCAGCATGGATTACTCCACAGAGAAAATCCTCAATCTCGTTGAAGGCTAAAATGAGGGCCTAAACGTCAATAATTGGCGAGTCATCCGACGTAACTTCGAGGGCCATCTGGTCACACTTACCCTTTCTGTGGACAGTGCATCCGCAGAAAAACTCAAATCCGGAGGCTACGCGGTGAGTTACAAGTTCGGTCATACGACTATAAAACCGCAAAGCAGCCGGAGCACAACAGCTGTGGAGCAACCAAGCTCCCCAAAGAAAAGCGGCGCCGAACCAAGGGCAGGAACGTCTAAAGACTCAATGAGTCATAAAGACGAAAGTGCCCAGGGTCCTTATTCTTGAAACAGGGGAGCAGTGTTCCCAGGAGAACGAGTGTTCTGTCTTTGTTACTCATATTATCAGTTGCATATCGTTGAGAAAGACGGAATACTCATTCTCCTGGGAACGCTACTCCCCTGTTTCAAGAATAACGACCCTGGTGGAGTGCGAAAAGTGAGTGCAACTCACCATGCATCAAATGCATCCAAATAAATCTTCAACACTCAAAAGCTGCCACTAGTGAGCTTAGAAGAAGAATGTTTGGACAAAAAATCAACGTAGGGCTACTTCAAGAGCCCTGGGTCAATGGAGGCTCTATAAAAGGCCTAAATATCAAATCATGTAAGTTAATCTACAACATTAACCACGAAAGACCAAGAGCAGCATTGCTGCTTGACAAAAATTTAAAATTTTTATCTGTTCCAGAGTTCATCACACAAGACTTGGCAGCTGCTTTAGTAGAAGTGCCAACGGAGGGGGGCTAAAGGCATATTCTCATAGCCTCAGCCTACTTTCCAGGTGATGATAACTCAGCACCGCCAGAGATCGTCCAACGACTCATCACGTGGTGCAGAGCGAGAAACAGACACTACATTATCGGGGCGGACGCCAACGCCCATCACCAGGTAGGATGGGAAAGCACCGATACAAACGCAAGGGGTGAGTACCTTTTTGAATATTTGAACTCTAACAACGTAGACATTATCAACAAAGGTAACAAACCCACTTTTATTAACGCCGTCAGACAAGAGGTCTTAGACGTGACTCTCGCTGACACATTTACATCTAACACAATAACCAACTGGCTTGTGTCAAATGAACCCTCCCTGTCGGACCATCAAGCAATAAGGTTCGTACTAGAGGCAGTTATAAATCACTCAGTACAGACAAGAATCCCAAAACTCACCAACTAGGTAACCTTTGTGGAGGGTCTGTGCCTGAGTCTAGATGAACTCCCTTCTGACATAAATACAATAGAAGAGCTAGAGGCATCATCTGACAATCTAACAAATGCGATAAAAGATTCCTATGAGAACAGTTGTCCCGTAAAACAAAAGGCAGTTCACAGGGATGTGCCTTGGTGGAACGGGCAGCTGAGACGTCTGAAACAAGATGCCAGAAAACTGTTCAACAAGGCAAAAACTAACGGCAACTGGGCAGACTATAGAACAACCGTAGACAAGTACAACCGTGAATTAAGAAAATCAAAAAGGAAATCATGGAGACAATTCTGCGAGGGGATTGACGAATTAGCCCCAGCTCAACGTCTCCAAAAAGTTCTTTCAAAAAACCACTCAAACGGAATTGGTCTGCTTAAAAAGCCAAACGGAGAACACTGTACCGACTATATAGAAAGTCTAGAGGTACTACTACAAACTCACTTTCCAGGTTCGGTAATCGTTGAAGCCCTGAACCAGGTCACTCCGCCTATCGAAGGGCCACAAAGCCCTAACGGCAGGAGCAAAAGGCTGGCTGGGAAAATCTTCACAATGAACAGAATAAAATGGGCGATCGATAGCTTCAGACCCTACAAATCTCCAGGCAAAGACGGGATTTTTCCCGCACAACTGCAAAAAGGCTACGAGTACTTAAAGGTACACCTACAAAAGCTCTTTAAGGCAAGCCTGCTCTCCTAGGGCACATACCGCTATCTTGGAGGGAAGCTAATGTGATATTTATACCAAAAACGGGTCGCCGACCCGAGGACGAACCAAAATCATATCGTCCCATTAGTCTAACCTCCTTTCTCCTTAAGACAATGGAGAAAGCAATCGACCAGTACATCAGAAGCGAAACTCTATTGAGAAGACCGCTCTACTCGAAGCAATTTGCCTATCAGCCAGGCAAATCCACAATAACTGCTTTACACTGCTTGGTTAAAGACATTGAAAAGACAATCGAGTGCAAAGAGGTCGCTCTCACATCATCGACATAGAGGGTGCCTTTGACAACATTTCACATCAATCAATCGCCAGAGCATTACAAGAATGGGATGTTGAAGTTCCAATTGTAAAATGGATAGAGTCGATGCTGAAGCACCGTCACGTTACGGCTGAAATAAACGGAGCATCAGCTACCGCTACCACGGTCAGAGGATGTCCTCAAGGGGGTGTTCTTTCTCCGCTACTATGGACACTGGTGGTAGACAAAATTCTTACCAGACTGAGTAGTGCTGGATACCAGGTCATAGGTTACGCAGATGACCTAGCCATTGTAATCAAGGGCAAACATGAAGGTATAGTGACAAGCCGAATGCAAAGTGCCCTACACATCGTTAAAAATTGGAGCGAAGGCGAAGGACTATCCCTAAACGCAAACAAAACAATCCTTGTCCCGTTCACAAGAAGAAGGAAGCTAAATTTGAAAGCCCCGACCCTTAACGGTACACAACTAACATTTTCCAACGAAGTGAAGTACTTAGGGGTCACCCTGGACCAAACCCTCACTTGGAACAAACAGTTAGAGAAAACATGCTCTTGAGCTACATCAGCCATTTGGTCATGCCGAAGACTTGTTGGCAAAACATGGGGGCTAACGCCAAAGATGGTATTCTGGATCTACCAAACCATAATAAAGCCCATGGTCACATACGCCTCATTGGTGTGGTGGCCCAAAACCCAACAAGTCACCGCTCAGATTAAGCTAAGAAAGGTGCAAAGGCTGATATGTCTAGGAATAACGGGAGCAATGTCAACTTGCCCCACCGCAGCTCTAGAGACGCTACTCAACATGCCTCCACTTCACCTATGTGTGAAAAAGGAGGCAATAACCAGCGCTCACAGGCTATTCCAAATAGACAAGTTCAAGCCTGGCGATCTGAGGGGACATCTGAAAATCGTTGATCTAATAACACTGGAGGATGCCAGCAAACCAAGTGACCACATGATGGTCAGATTGGACTTAGAGATCCCCTTCGCAGTGGTAATAAACGACCGCCAATCATGGGAGAATAAAGAACTACCACAAGCAGACAATGCATCTCTGTGGTACACAGATGGATCCAAGCTAATGGTAGGAGCTGGACTGGGCATTTCCGAGGCATTGGGTAAACATCTTATAATATTTCAAGCCGAACTGCTTGCCATAGATATATGTGCACAAGAGTGTCTTAACCAAAGCCTCAAAAGGAAACACATTTTCATACTATCGGACAGCCAAGCTGCCTTAAAAGTCTTGAGGGCTTTCAAATGCACGTCAAAACTAGCCTGGGAGTGTAAACAGACCCTAAAAACACTAGCGACACATAACCAGGTAACGCTGATGTGGCTGCCTGGTCATCGAGGCATAGAAGGAAACGAAGAGGCAGATGGCCTCGCAATGGAAGGGGCCTCAACACCATACCATGGACCAGAGCCCTACTGTGGCTTAATGAAAAGCCACATCATGGAAGAACTCAACAAATGGGAGAAAGACCAACTGTCATCATATTGGAGGCACACACCGGGACTCAGACAGTCAAAAAGGTTTATTACCCTTTCAGCAAAAAGAGCTGAACAGCTCCTAAACATGAGCAGACCAGACATCAGATTGGTGGTGGGACTGCTCACAGGACACTGCCCAGTAAAATACCATTTAAGGTTAATGGGCAGAGCGGAAGACGATCTCTGCAGATTCTGCTCAGACGCAATAGAAACCGCAGAGCACCTGCTCTGCGAATGTCCAGCCCAATTCTGCAAGAGGCTCAAATTCCTCGAGGGGGCAACACTGTTACCAGAAGAAGTGGGCCAACTGACACCCAGGAAGCTTCCTTCGGCAGAAGTCTACGCTTCCTGGAGACAAATTAAGATGTAGAGTCACGCACAAAATATCTGCAAAGGTAGCAGTGCTGAGCGGCTGAAAAGCCGAAACGACTCCCCCGAAATCTACAATCTACAATGATATTTGTGATAGGTACAATTATTATTGGAAATAATGAATAATGAATCAATCTTTAAACCTTCAAACTTGACGAATTTCCATAAAAAAGACAAGCCGAAATGAAGTTTACATAAACCTTAGCTAAATCTGGATTTGAAGAAAAAAACTCATCAAAAAACTGTAAGAAAGGACAAGAAGATAATGATGAATGATGCTGATCTTTGAAATATGTGAATTTTGTGAAAATACACACTGTGAATCAATTCAATGATGCAATCATCTCCAGCTTTTAATGAGAACTGCCCACTTATAACAATAGGAAATCCAATGGAATACATCAAAGCCAGAACAGCCGCCAGTGAGATACCTACACATGAAACAATGTTGAAAAACTTCAAGGAAGAGCTGAGAGGATCCAATCCTAAAAATTCACTGACACTTTCTCAGCTCAAAGGTACTTTGATCAAACTCAATGGACATGAAATGAGCCTAGGCCTCGTAGGCTAAGCTTAGGCACCTGATAAGAAAGTTGATAGTACCTTATTCTAAAAAAGATTCTGTAAATTTTCGAAAGATAAAGTAACCACAGAAGAAGGAATGAAATGTCCGCTCATTTCATTTTTGTTTAACAATTTTTTATTAAAAAAAAACACAAGTACAAAAATAAGTTAAAAACCTATATCACTAACAGCTTGATTGCATTGCAACGGCATTCACACATATTAAATCACATCATTTCAAAAAAAAATAAAAATCTTTGGTTCTTTAGACATTATTTATCACATCGAATAAATCAAGGCTTCCTGCCAAAATGAATATATTTGTCACACCATTCGTACACATTGTCTTCGCTATTACAGCACATCGGATAAACTATCGGCGATTTCGTTTGTTTGGCACAACGTTGACAAATTTCAACTTTGAGATCCTATAAAAATTGAAAATGTTACTTCAAATTTTTTTCAGATAATATTTTAACTTACATCATATACACAAGGGTTGTTGTGCCTGTCCCATTCGCTGCCAGGCCTAGGATGAGCCTCTGCAATCACCAGCAAAAGAATTATCGTAGTAATAATCGCCGTAATTGTTTGTTTAGTCTGAAATAAATTATTAATAATATTATTGAACGAATAATGATGAATAACATATTTTCGTGGGATGCAACAAATATTATTTACAACAGTCAATGGCCTCAATGCAAAAATTTGTCCCGTGGGATAATTTTTTTTTTATTAAATCGTTTCTAATAAATAATAAGAAATTATTAGATAATAATTATTTTTATCTCCAAAATGTCTCTTCGATGTCTACAACAATGTATACGCAGAGGGATAACAAATTGCGAAGGATTAAAGTTTAGTAATTATTTTTAATTGTTTACTAACGATTAAAATAAATATAACATTAATTAACATTCCATAGTTGAGACCACTGATAAAGTTCCAAATTTTGGGATTATTTGGCAATAATTGATATTTTTTTCCTTTTTTCTTATTGGCGAATTAAACTATGATAAATATGTATTTGGATTGTGCAATTGAGAATAATTGTTGATATTGAACGGATTTAAAGATGTTTTTTTCACTTTCAATTTTTACTTGCTGTGTTTTGCTAGTTTTTGTCTTTTTGATATATTTGGAGGAGGAAGTGGAATTTATTGATTTAAAAAAAAAAAATTCAAGAGACAAAAGAAAATTAAGAACTTAGAATAAGGAAATAAGGAGCCTGGAATAGGGAAAGTTATGAAAATTTAAAAATTTGAATTGAAATGGAAACATTTTCTTGCTAATATTTCCTTAATAACTTAAATAAAATAAATCTTTTATTTAGTATAAGCTACACATAAAATACTAAGAATAGAATAAAAAAATCTTCACAAAATTGAGGCATTCTGGTGGAAACATTTATAGTGGTGATGTTGAGTTTAGACGCTCCCGATTTGGTCGTGTTGTTAAACCTCCCCGACGATTAAATCTTTGAGGGGAAGGTGTTTGGATGTTAGTTATCGAACGTACCCGTTATTTAGATGTTAGTTGTTAAGTTATCGAACGTATCCAGGATGTCAAAGAAATGAGAGTTGACAATTATTGTCACTCAGTTGGATTTTCTAGAATCTTGTAGAAACAACTCAAAAATGTAAAAGTTTAGTTTTTCCTAATTAATTGGTTGTTTTATTTGATAAACACCTAATTAAACATACCTCTGCCTAAGAAGATCAATGCAAGAAAAGTGAAGATCATAGACTTATTAGCCTGATGAGCCATACTTTAGACATATTTCTTAAAATCATACACCAGTGAATTTACAAGAAATGTGAAAGAGACATAGCAACTCGCAATTTAGGTTCAGACAGGGGTTAGGTACACGAGAAGCGATAGTCGCAACACAAGTGCTTGTCCAAAACTGCTACGATCAGAGAAAGAATGTGTGCCTATGTTTCATAGATTACCTACGGAAAGATTGCGTACAACATCACAAATTAGTGTAGCTCTTCAATAAGCTTGATATAGACCAGAAAGACATTAGATGCATTGAAAACATATAGTGGAACCAAACAGCGCAAATCAAATTAGGCAATAATATGTCCAACACCATACAGATTAGAAGAGGGGTATGCGACAGGGATGTGTATTGTCTCCACTCCCGATGTTAAACTTATATTCGGAAGCGATTTTCCAGGAGGCTTTGAAAGACGTGGAAATGGGAGTCAAAGTTAATGGAGCGTGGATTAACAATGAGTCCTATGATTGAACGTTTATGTTAAAATTAACACAAACCTGTTATGTTATGATAACAGGGAATAGATAACATATAGAATAACAGTAGATGTTATATCGGTATGATTGTCGAAATCGATAACAGAAGATGTTAAGCTGGCTGTTAGGAATGGGAGAAAGTATTTGTAGCTAGCTTCACTTTAGTTCAAAAGTGACGTTTTCCTTGAAACAACAATAACAAACAATTAAATTACATTTTTTTGGAGCTCGTTTTACATTTTATTCAATTTATTATGGCGCAAAAATTATCTAAAAAACTGTGAAACAGTATGGGGACACAGCATTTCCAAATCATATAAATGTCGAGGGTATTGGACCCCAAAAAACATCTGATGAGTGGACATCATTTGTAGGTACACGAAAATAAGCATTACCAGAACCACTGCCTCATATAAAATGAAAAACAGTTCCAAGTATAGGTACTAAGAATTCAGAATAAACTTTTAGAATTTAGACCTTCAGTTCAACTAAAATGAATGAAATTCTTGGTCTTTGAGGAATATTAAAATGGGGCTTCTTGTAATTATAAACTGCACCGATTCTTTTAGAACTTTTGGAAGTCTAGTACAAAAGGTTTGCTTGTCGTTATCGTTCTTAAACCTTCCTTGGTTTGGCCATGTGTTCCGTCTAGTATATTTGATAATAAAACCTCATCAGAAGTTTCAATTGATCTCTGATATGCCTTCTTTGCATGTTCAATTCAGTCCTTAAATAGTGAATTAATATGAAAGTTTTGTACCTCATAATGGATTACCATAAAATAGCAATGAAATTTATAACTTAAGTACCATCGTCACCAAAAGTAACTGGGACAGCATCATATTAGCTCTTGTACAATTATATGATTTTTAGTGTCGAATATTCAACAAACTATAAATTAAATGCATTGAAATGAATGTGGTAGGATTAGTCCAGGAGATGAATTATTTTAATCCCAAATACTTTTGGTGACGATGGTACCTTCTAGTTTGATTCTCTTCTTGTAGTAGTATGTAAATTAATTAACTCCGTCGTTCAAAATAGGCTCTCTAAAAAAATAAAAAACATTGGTAACATGAACGTTAAGCACTTAACGGCATGTTATTCGGGGCTGTTGAGGCGATATGTTAAATTAGAACATAACAGGCGGGAAATAACAGTAATCTGTTATGAAAAACTTTCGATCATACGAACTTGCATCGTTGCTGTTAAAACTCGGCCTAACATGTACGTTACGGATAACGTAAACGTTCAATCATCGGACCCATTATCCGCTATGTTGACGATATACGGTTTTAATTGCTGATAACATACACGACCTACAACAACCAATCAACAAGGTAGGAGAAAAGAACAAATCAATGAGCTTAAATATCAACACCCAAAAAACAAACTTTATGATTATCTCTAGAAACCCAAATATATTTGAAAACTCCACCACATTTAACGCAAGGCCCATAGAGAGAGTGGATAAGTTTAAATCGGTACTTAGGCGTCTGGTTTTTCGATGACTGGACATCAGACAAGGAAATAGAATGTCGCATTGAACAAGCTCTTGAGGTTTCTAAGAGTGCTTACCTGTTCCGATTTTGACCTTAACCTAAGACTCAGATTCATTAAATGCTACGTTTGGTCAGTGCTTCTTTACGGTATGAAAAGTTGGACATTAGAGATGCCTGCAATTACCAAAGAGATGTGGCTGTATCACAGAATCCTCAAGATACCTTGGACGTCTAGACTAATAAACGAAGAACTCCTGAGACGTGTCAAGAAATAACAGTTTGAATTGGTTAAAAAGAGAAAAACAGCATATCTGGGACATATAATGCGAAACACGAAATATCAACTCTTGCACCTGTTGATCGAAAAGTCACTTCTCGAATAAATTACTTCCAATTGCGTTCTTAATCGCTCCTTGGAGAGCATTGGGTACATCTTAGTAACCTTGTTAAAAATTTAATTCGGGAACATGGTATTAAAAGACGCGTAAGAAGTGTTGGTGAGAAGGTAATTTTGCTTCTAAATGTCCCCTATATGAAAGTCTATCCTTCATTTGTGTAATTCTTGTACATATTTCGAGTATTTCTTCGGATCCAGCATTTATGACGGGATGTATGTGTCTTCTCATGTAGGCTATTGGTGGTCGTATAGTTTGATTATCTATATAAGTCTTGCATTACTTCAGCAATCTCGTTTTTTTCATATACAAGATTTCCTTGGTCATTTCTTAATTCCTGGATTAGGAGTTTTCCTCTGTTTCTTTTAGATTTGAGCACCTTCATGTTCATGTTATTTTCGATCAATTTTTCAATTTATTAAGTGTGGTATGAAGAAGATGTTCAAGCAGTAGAGAGTAGAGATTTTCACGACAGAGAAAGTCTAGCAGTACCTGTCCTCTATGATTTCGTTTTCATAACCCAAAATTTCCGATATATATTTTCGATATGCGAGTCTGATGCATTTCGTCGTCCTATCTTCGCCTTAAAATCTCCTAATATTATATTAAATTTTGTTCTTTCAGTGTTCATTGCAATCATTGCTTATGATATATCTTCGTAGAATTGTTCGCATTCTTCTTCTGGAGATTTACTGGTCGGATCGTATGTTTGGATTATTTGTATGCAGTGTTGAGCTGTATCATGATATAATATGACTCTGTTTGAAATTACACGAGCTTTAGTAATAAGGTGTTTATTCCTTCTATGTTTTATGATGACTATTCCTCCAATATGAGAGTTGCTTTCCTGGTGTCTTTGGAATAACAGATGTCCGGACTGCAGACTGCAGAATGCTACTAGCTTCACCAGTTAATCTTGTTTCACTAATCCCGACCACATCCCATTTTAGGTGTCCAAGTTCATTCTCAAAACTTTTAAGGTGTTTATCCAGTCTCATTGTGCGTATGTTGTATGTGACAAAATATAGGTATTTATTTGAAGGTGATGGTTTTCTCCCAAGAACCCGTGAGGCAGACTGGTAGTAAGTCAGTGTGAGATTTTGAGCATGTCGCTCTACTCACCTGGAGTAGGTACATTCCTGACGTTTTGGAATTCGACATTTCAGTTGGAAGGTATTGGCAATTTTTAAAAACGCTACGCTTGCCGAACAGGTTGGCGAGTGGATTTGGATGGGAAGAGATAATTTGTATAATTTGAAATCAGCTTAGCTTATGATAATACACAAAACAATAATCTACCTTAAAAAGTCTCTAAAAAATGGCACCTGAAATCTGGTTCAAAATTGCATTATTTATTATGGTATATTATTTATTAAAAATCACAACATACATACTTTATACTTTACAGGTTCTATTTGTATACGAAAAGTAACACTTTGCGCAC